TCGATCAATTCATGTCTTTCTTTTTTAATCTTCTCTAACAAAAATGTTAATTTGTTCTTGGACAAAAAATAAGCGTGTTGGTCGATGAATCGAAGGATATTGAAGAAGGAATGAGTGGGTTAATTGATGAGTTAGAAACTATAATACAAAAGTTATAGTCATGTCATTACATTAAGATAATAATTAAATGATAGAATAACTAAGTAAAAATAAAAAATATTTTAAACAATCAATAAAAAAAAATAGTTAAAAATGCCTGAATATATTAAACACTTCAAATTTTACAAAGCCTTATTTTAATAGTGAAGGTCAAAAAATGTGTATTGATTATGGACTTTTAAAATTCGTTTCTCCTTCGATCAACTATCATTTATGCATAATTAATGTTTGTGCACAAGGATATATGATAGAGTACACAAGAACATGCGAATCTCACTTGAGATTGGATGTGATTCAATGCTAAAAAGAATAAAAAAAATAATTTGCTCTTATTTAAAAGGTCTGATTTAGTAAAAAGTCTCATTTTAAGTCGGATTTTCAAAATTAATAGTCAAATCTCTTAAATATACTTATTGGGTGATAACTGACCTTGTGCCTCAAGCATGATATTTGGAACACCACTTTGATATTTATGAATGAATGAAAGCATTTGGGAGATACACCCCCGTTTATGAGGGTTCTTATCCCTACAAAGCTAACTTTTAGACAACTTTAAATTAGGTACTGTCTTCTTCTACAAGACCTAATTAACCTTTAAGGAAGTACACATAACTAATTTAGAACCTCTAATTAAATTAGGAGGAGACAGAAAATATACATAAAGCATTTAGCTAAAGCAAAGAAAAAACCAAATCCCCGAGAAAGGAAAACTTTGAACCCTCTTTAGACACTTTTTGAGGAAGGAAATACAATTCTTCTTCCAAGGATCCTTTTCCATGTTAATGCGTAATGTAATTAGATTCATTTTAATGAAGCTATTATTTGTTCATATTCAATTTAATTACTTTTCTATTTAATGTTCTTGTTGTTCTAATTAAAAAAATAGAAAAATATATGATTTTATAAGTTCAGTTTGAAATTGGAAAAGACAATAAATAATTTTTTTGATGAAAAGGGTAGAAAGTGAGTATTTTGATGAACATGTGAGTGAGGGCCCAAAAGCTTTGTTTTTGCCCCTTATGCTACGTCTGAAGATGGTGGTGGCTATCCTTTTCAGTCCTCTAACTTTTCATCCTCATTTATCTTTTAGCATAAAACTGCCATCTGGGCTCTGCAACCTGGGACTCCACACAACAAGGTTAGCTCCTGCACCACAAAAACACAAACCCTTTTCTTCCCTTTCCCATTATTTTCTTCCATCCACATTATTCTTCACACACTCAGACTTACCCATGAAATTCTTCACAGCAAAACAAAAATACACAACTTAATAATTTCAACCCAACTTTATAAAATTAGTTGTGAGGGCTGGTTCAATAATTTTTCTCTGCACTCAGAATTAATTGCTTATAGGTGACAAATGATTGCTCAAGCAAGATATAGTTGTAACAATTTAATCTCCTTTGATAGTTTGGTCTCACAAATTATGCTCAACACTTCAGTAAGAGAGACAAAAAACTAATTATTTCTCCTCTTAAAGGAATGATACTCAAACTATGGTAAGAATATCAATGAGGTTCTTGTAACAGAATGAATTACCCAACCATGTCAAATTATACTTTATGAATTCATATTTGTCAATATAGGCCTAATATTAGTTTCTAGTTCAACTAGGAATGGGAAAAAACGGAAACAAGTTTCATTTTTCCATATTACTTTTAAAATAAAAATTCATCACCGTCCACATATTAATATTCAACTAATACAAGATTTTTGTCTTATTTTTATCCACACTCAATACTCAATGAATAATATAAGATTTTTATCTTATTCTCGATTCCATCGATTACTCATGTACATACTCGTTTTTTTCTTTTATTTTTTCAATATCAATTAATTAATTTTTATACAAAAATAAAAATCACATGAAAAGAAATATAATATTTTAAATATTCAATATAAAAAAACGTATTTTTATAATCTTCAATGTGAAATATTTGAAAATAAATTAAAATTGTATGAAATTCAAATCATAATATCAAATAACAATCAAAATAAAAGTAAAATAATTATATAAAATATTTTACAATTATATATAAATAAAATTTCATAATAATTAAAACATCCATAAATTTTGCAAACATTAATAAAAAAGTTGACAAAGTTTAAAAGGTATTTTAAAAAAATATAAAATGAAAAAATATTCATAGTTAAAAGTATTTCAAATATCTCTTTAATATTTTTTCTTATACACGATAAAATTACATTGAATAAAATTATACAAAAGAAAAATATTAAAATAATAATAATTTAAATTTAGACGTAAATATTTTATCTCGTGATATCTTAAAATATAAAACAAGTCAAATAATAAATTATATATATATATATATATATATATATATATTATTGCCATGAATATAAACATGGAAACAGGATGAGCATGTATATATTCATTCCTATCTTTATACCCATTGAAAAAATTGGGTATTATCTTGGAGTGGCTAAAGGATTTGTGAAACTTATAACAAATATATGAATGCGACCTTTTATTTAAAATTAATTTTTTTAAGTTTTTTTGATGTAAAATTATCTATTAAATTGTGGTTGTTAATTTCTTTTGACGTTAACATTGTTTTTCAATTTCAACTCGTGTTTATTACTTATTTCATTAAAGATTTCATCTACACTGTCTTCTAAAAGGTTAAATCATAACCTAGTTAATAATTCTGTAATTTAATCTAAGCAAAAATTTTAATTCTCATCAAAATATATATAGAAAAACTCATAAATCGAAAAGTATAAAAAAAATAAAATCAGACAAAAGAAACACATTTATAATCCTAACACAGATTTAAAAAATAAAATAAAAACAACATTAACACAAATAAAAATAGAAACATAATAAATTTAAATGAGGATAAAAAGATTGATACCATATTAGTAAGTGAATTTTAAGTCTAACTCAATCCCACAAAACATGCTTATAAAATAAAGTTTGCACCTACTTATATATTATAATTTGACCTTATCTCTGCAATAAAAGAAAACAACTATAGACAATGAGTAAAATTAGTAGGTGAAAGATCACATAAAAATAAAAGAGAAAATATAAATTAAAATTAATTATAAGAAAATAAAGATAACTAGTCATTCTTTTTTTCCTAGACAAAATTATAACTTGTTGAAGAAATGGTTTAACTCATTAAATATTATTTTTAATACCAATAAAAATTGACATGATAATAATTTGATTAATTTTTATTCTTAAACAGAAAGTTATAATTAATTAAATAAAGGTATATTAGTACGTACTAATTTTTTCTTTTGAGTTTTTTTTCTTCTAAAATATAATTTTATAATCGATTTAATAAAGAAATATTAGTATTAAAAAATGTATTGAGTTTTTATTTTCTGAAACATAATTTTACAATTAATATAATACAAAAATATTAGTATTAAAAAAAAATTAGGAATTTTTATTAGGTCTAAAACAAATATTTTATTTATTTTATTTTTGAGTTCGTCTTATCTGTGTATCTAATCAATACAAAAATTCTCTATCAAAATATAAACGAGTTCATACAATACTCATATAAATAAATTTTTTTGTTATCTTTAGTTTTACACGACATAAATTTATAAAAAAATGTTATAATCTTTAGATGATATGTATTACTCTTACATATATTTGTGAAGACTAAGAATACGTATATGATTTTCATACCTTCATAAGGAAGATAATTGTGTGTAAATTACATAAATCACGAGACAATCACCTTAAATAAGATGCATGTGTGCAAATTACATAGATCATTAGACACTCTTGATTCATTAAACATATAAAAAAATAAAATAATAATTTAAAACCAACTTAACGACCTGAGGAATCCTTATTTCTTTTAATTTGAAAAACTACACATACAGACACTCACAAATCTCTCTATACATGTTAAACACACAAACAAGTCTCTCTCTTCATATTACACACAAACCTCTCTCCACATATTAATTTAGCTTAAAATATCTGTGTAGTGCCTATAGTAGAGAGCTGATTTTATTTATTACACATATATACTAAAAGTTTATCATTATGATTTAGTTTTTTCTAATGTTATTTGGAGAGTTGGATTAAGAAAAGATTTAAGACATAGGATTTAATGATATGGATGATATAATGAAACATAAACGAAAAAAAACCCCGTAAGTTAGGAACTAAAAAGTAATTTAAGTAAAAATTTTGTGCGAGGAGTACAAATATTTAAGTATCCAACAAATAAGACTGCAGGTGTTACGTTTACTATTTATTACATATAACGTGTGTTCTTTGTTCAAATACAAGGTCCAAGTAGGATTATCAATTAAGATATTTTTTTATTCAGATATTTAACATCGATATATACTTAAAATTTAAATTCACGATTTAAACTATTTATATGAATATGTGCATATAAAATATATCGGAAAAACTTTTAGATAATAAACAAGAATGGAAAGCAAGGAAAGAAAAGCGAACGAAGCCGCATCATTTGATCACACGCCACACAGAATTGTATTATATATTATACACTTCATCATTAGTTTTTTAAAATAAATAAATTAATTAGGAGTTGGTTTGTTTGTCCTTCTGCAGAAGGAGGAGGTGGTGTTAACTTAAAGAAGAGAAAGAGAGATAAATAAATAAAAAATAAAAAATAAAAAATAAAAAATAAAAAATAAAAAATAAAAAATAAAAAATAAATGGAGGGAAAAAGAGAGTGGCAGAGAGGGAAGGGAAGAGTGAAGACAGTTGGACGCGGGGCTTAACACGAGAAAAGAGAAGCGAAGAGAAACAAAATAAGCCATCAAATTAAAATATAAAATAATATTAAAAAAAGACGAAAGGGTGATAAAAATAGAGAAAATAAATTGAGAGAGAGTGTGCATCTCCATCTCCATGGCCATAGAAGATAGAACAGAGAGAAGAGAAGAGAAGTAGTGAAGGAGAAGAAAAGTGACACTGATAGTGTTGAAGTTGTTGTTGTTGTTGCTTAGCGGTTTCTGCCCCGCTACTCTTCAAACGACGCCTTTTTTTTGTTTGTTTCTTTCTTCTTCGTTTTCTCTCAACAACCACCACTCTCTCTCTCTCTCTCTCTCTCTCTCTCTCTTGCTGTTAAATCCACCTTCCTTCTCTCTCTTATCTTCTGCTGTTTGCTGCTGCATCGTTTTCTTTCATTCTAATCCTAACTGTTCAGTCAGACACAAAACACATTCACTCACGTTTTTTTGGCTCTTTTCCATGGAACCATCGGAGAATTGCTCTGTTAAAGTCGCTCTTCACATTCGTCCTCTCATTGCCGATGAACGACAGCAAGGTTGCATTGAATGTGTTTCCGTCACGCCTGGGAAGCCTCAGGTACTATCTCTCTTCTTCCTCCTTCTTTTTTCTTTTCTATTTTTATTTCCAGCTCTCTGTTTTTTTTACTATAGTAATAATTATTAGTATTTGCTTTGTCGTTTTGCGGACGATTAATTAATTAATGGCGTCTTCTTCTTTTTTCGGCACCCGGGTTTGCTTATAATCATTTGGAAGATTCTTTCTTTCTTTTTGTGTAAATGAAATTATTATTATTAATGGTTTATGATTCCTTTCTTGTTTATTTAGCATTGACACTTAGAATTTGCTTCAATCCTTTTCTAGAAAAAGAAAATAATAGAAGTCCAGTTTCAGAGGTTTCTTTCACTTACAATTTGGGATTGTTTGATTAGATAAAATTGTCATTCGAAGGGATTACGGACTTTTACTTTTGTACTTCATTATTATTATTATTATTAGTCGTGGGTTAAGGAGGCATTTTCCTCTTTCATGCTGTGAGTAATTTTCACTCAGCTTGTCCCATTATGGATTGGTTTCTTGTTTGGCATTTTTCGTTGCTTTTCTTTATCTTACTCGCTATGAAATTGATCCATGGGACTGAAAATTTTCCATTACATATCATTTCAGTTCTGGGAATTTATACCAGATTGCCTAAGATTTTTTTAGTCAATTCACCCAAATTATATTTGGAAATTTTCCTTTTTTATTAACCTCAGAACAGGGAAATAAAATGATTATTTCTATAAAGATATACAAGCAACCTTAAGAAAAATAAAACTTGTTCTCCTGTTTGGATCATGGACTTAAATTTTATAGAAACACATCCTTCAGCATCGAGGTACTGTATGAAGTGAATTGAGACGAGCTTTAAATTGCCTGCATTCAGTGGTGAAAGCTTACTTCCTTTGAAGATTGTGATTATGAACTCGTATTTTTCTGTTACATGTTGAAAAGCTGTGAACGACCCTGGTAATCTGCACATTTCTTTTGCTTTTGGCTCCGGAGAATCTGATTATGGTATTTCATTGACCAGGTTCAGATTGGATCGCATTCCTTTACATTTGACCATGTTTATGGAAATAGTGGGTCTCCTTCGGTTGACATGTTTGAGGAATGCGTTGCTCCATTGGTTGATGGCTTATTCCAAGGATACAATGCTACAGTACTTGCATATGGTCAGGTTAGGTTCACCTTGCATGTCAAGTACTCTTGAAGTTGAGAATGATCATTCTATTCTTTTTTTGTATTTGACATACGTACTTGCCACAGACAGGATCTGGGAAAACGTATACCATGGGAACTGGCTATAATGACAATTGTCGGAGCGGATTAATTCCTCAGGTTATGAGTGCCTTATTCAACAAAGTTGAAACACTAAAGCATCAAACAGAATTTCAGTTGCGAGTTTCCTTCATTGAGGTATATCCACTATGCTATGCGGATTTGTATATGCATAATCGAACCTTAAAATATATTTTTTTGAATTTGAATCTTTATATGGTAGGTTTAAATAACTTGTCAAATTGAAGATGTTCCATGTGAAATGATTTTCCACACGCAGTCTTTTTTGAAGCATTGATCCAAAAATACCATTGGCTGGCTGTGCTTGTTCATTGCTCTTCATAGAAATAGGAAATGTTTCCACGAACTCTTATTCTTGTCGGGAACTTAATTATGCATTTGATTTTGAAGATTTTAAAGGAAGAGGTCAGGGACCTGTTGGATGCGGTATCTTTGGGCAAATCAGACACCTCTAACTCTAATGGCCATTCTGGAAAAATAACTGTTCCTGGGAAGTCACCAATACAAATTCGTGAAACAGCAAATGGAATAATAACACTGGCAGGAATAACTGAAATTGCTGTAAGTACATTACATGAGATGTCTGCATACTTGGAACAGGGTTCTTTAAGTAGGGCAACGGGAAGTACAAATATGAACAACCAGTCAAGGTAAATGAGTTTTCAATCTTCCTTGTCCACCTAATAAATAAAGGATACTTGATGTTGTCATTTTGTGTTCAGATACTTTAGTTTCCTTACACACAGATACTGGCCCGGTGATATTTTAATGTTTGATGTGAAATTTTACTTTCTTTCATCGTAAACCTTTTCAAGCCAGCACCACTGGCACATGCTACCTTTGGTCCTTTTTACAAGAACCATTTTGGGCTGTTTTCTTTTGGTCCTTTTTATAAGACGCCCGCCAAATTGTCTGCTACTTTTATTTTAAATGTCCTTATTACTAAGCAGTTTTTCTTGTCAGTGATAACAGTAAATGTGGTAAATTTATTACTTAAACTCTCTTGCAAGAGAATAAAGGGAGATCCCTAACAAGAACATAAGCAGAGATACAACCATTGATTAGGTGGGAAAAGATAAAGTTTAACGGTCAATGCCACCATATAAATTAACTTAATTCCTTATGTCCCGTGATGTGATGTCCATTAAATTTGTTCTTTCTAATCTAATAACTGCTATTCCTCTTTTGCTTGTACTAGTCGGTCACATGCCATTTTCACAATTACATTAGAACAAATGCACAAGCTCCATTCTGTTTCTACCACCAATGACTCTTCAGATGAGGATATGGGTGAAGAATACCTTTCAGCAAAGCTCCATTTGGTAGATCTAGCTGGATCTGAACGAGCTAAAAGAACAGGTTCTGATGGCCTTCGTTTGAAAGAAGGTTTGCAATGCATGATAACCTGAATACCTTGTATACTTCTGTGTCAAAGGCAGTGTTCCAATAATTGAAATGATAATGACAAGGATTTAATGACTATTTTTCAATAGGAATACACATCAACAAAGGTCTTCTTGCTCTTGGTAATGTCATAAGTGCACTAGGTGATGAGAAAAAGCGAAAGGAAGGTGTGCATGTTCCTTATCGTGATAGCAAACTCACTCGACTCTTACAGGTTAGGGATATTTTGTTGTTTGGAATACTCATTATATCTATAAACACACACATACACAGATTATCAATGTATGGTTTAAACATCAAGATTTGTTCCCTTCACAAATAACCACTCCTCTCAGGTGATATGACCCCTACTTATCTAAGACTGATTCATTATGATTTTTCCATTGGGATAGTTTTTAGAACTGGCGATACAAGTCAATTCTCTCTTGTTTTTGCGTTTCTGAGATCATATTGGCAATACCTTTCTTTTTTAGTGGTAAGTGAAATGCCATGAAAATTTCTTGCAATGATTATGTATGTATGTGTGTGTGTGTGTGTGTGTATATATATATATATATATATATATATATATATATTTCAAAATTTAGCCTGTTAAGGATTCTATGTTCTGTATAAATATTTCTGGACTCCAACTTATTTGCGATTTTCAAGCTTTCAAGGAACTACTAACTGCTGAATAGAAAATTAAAAGCATTCAGTGTATCAAGTAATTAAATTTTGGTGTTGACATTCTTTTTAGCTTACCCTTTCCAGTTAAGGTAGGAACTAAGAATTCTTAGTTTCTTAATGTCAGTTTCTACGAAACTTTTGATCCAAAGTCACTGGCCCTTGTTGCAGGATTCACTTGGTGGAAACAGCAAAACTGTCATGATAGGTAATACTGCTGAAAGTTGATTCATGGCTCTGAATATCCGTGTTTAAGCATGTTCCTGCTCTGGTTTTGTTCAATCCACTTAAACTAGGAAATATTCCTCTCCAGTTAATTTTGTTTTAATTGAAGCCAGCTCATTGCAGTGGGATTTTTATTTTATTAATGTATGAGCCAGTTAACGAATTTTAAGTTCTTTTAGTAACATTTGTGTACTTCTTGGTTCACGAAGACATTTTTTATCATTATTTCTGGGTATCTTCCTATCATATAATATCACAAAATCAGCTGGACTGTATTTTCATCTCTCTTATTACATTGTAAGAAAACTTAACGATGCCTTTTTTACATTCCATATAGACATAATTCATCATGCAGTTTGACCGAAAATTTTCCGATGCCAGGCATATTTGCCACTTTCATTGCTTTTCAGATAAAAGCATATGCTGGCTTTACACTCTACATGATGAATTGAAGATATTTTTTCCTTTTTTAGACATATTGATTAGATATTTTAATGTGTATATCTAATACAGTACTGTATAGATAAATTAACAATATTGTTTCTCTAATCAAAAGTAAATTTTTTACATGCTTTTCAATCCCAAAACGGTTCCCCTTTGCCCAGCTTGCATAAGTCCTGCTGATGTCAATGCCGAGGAAACTCTCAACACTCTCAAGTATGCAAACCGTGCACGCAATATTCAAAATAAGCCTGTTGTAAGTTTGCACAATTCTTTGTTATATTAAGTTCTGTTATTTGAGGAAGATAAGGAAATTCATTCTGGTCAAGTTTCATTTACTATAATCTATATTGTTAATTTTACAGGTTAATCGAGATTTAATATCGAATGAGATGCAGCAAATGCGCCAACAGTTGAAGTACTTGCAGGCTGAACTCTGTTCTCGGGGAGCAGCTCCCTCTGATGAAGTGCGGGTATTTGTCATAACTGAGACTTGCACTTTAAGTTAGCATTAGATCTTTCGGTTTCATTATATCTTGCTGCTCGTCTTGTACAGGTTCTTAAGGAAAGGATTGCTTGGCTCGAGGCCACTAATGAGGACCTTTACAGAGAACTTCATGAATATCGCAGTAGATGTGCTTTTGTAGAGAGATGTGAAATTGATGAACCGGCAGTATGTGAATAGGAAAATACTTAAAATTTAAATGCTGTTGCTTCTTTTTTTTTTTTACGTTGATGAAACACTATCTCATGATTTTTTTTTTCTTTCTCAGGATAGAAACATTTATCTCATGAAAGCTGATGGGCTTGAGAGGCGCTTTCAGAGCTCAGATTCATCTGATCATCCCTTGGTTGGAAGTATATCTGGTAGACATGAATTAACCTGTTTTTTTAGTCAAAAACTGATTTTTATTTTTCATTTAAGAATATCTACATATAGGAATTTGAAAACTGGTGGATGGGGAGAGGGGATGAATAGCTCGTTCTCCTACTCCATTTATTTGGAAAAGTATGTTTTTTATTTCCAGTACCTGCTTCTAGTGCATAGGAATTTACACATTTATGGAAGGTTTGCATTTGGCATATATGTTGTTACGTAAGGAGACGTAACGAAATCACCCTCTCACACACTCACAACAAGCAAAATAATAATGAAAGAATGGAACTCAACGAATGAATCTCTTTTATTGAAGGTAATATTTGGATAAACAAAAGTAAACAATAATTGGGAGCATAACCTCCTTCAATTATTTGGGAGCATAACCTCCCTCACAGGACGCATAGCCGCCTGTCAACAAACTCAATAATCAAAAGCCTAACCCTAACAATAGACTCTAGTTTTATTTATATTAATTATTTTCCGCCCATCTCTAACTAAATATTTTCCTAGAATATATTTGCATTTAATATAAATATTCCCTATATTTAATATAAATATCGCCCGGTATATTATCCTACCATATATCCTTAATTATAAATATTTTATATTGAATATTTCCCTAGGATATATATTTATTTACTCTAATTAACTTATATTGAATATTCTCCTCAAATGCGCTCCTTTTCCTGTAATTAGTTCTCGTCCATCCTAACCGCGACAGTTAGGATGGTAATCTTTCAACTGTTCGGCTTGACTCCTCACAGCCTACCACTGTTCGGCCTGGTCGCTCCCCGCCTTCCATCGTTTGTCTTGGTCGCTCTCCCTTCTACCGTTCGGCCTGGTCTCTCCCCATCTTCCACCATTCGGTCCCCTTCTCTCCCCTTCTCTCACTGTTCGGTCCCCTTCTCCTTCTATACTTTCTCCTCTCATATACTTTCCAACCCTTATTATTACCCCTACCTTATACCGTAACATATGTATAATTAAGAAAAAAAAACTTTAACAATTTGAAAGAAAACTTTGCTTAAAACTGATGATGATAGGAGAAATTTAATGCGGTAGTTAATGAATGCCAAAATCAATAAAAATTCAAGATGAGCGAAAGAAAAATTTCAAGAACATACAATAAATTTTATATTGGTTCAATTCTTCCTGAATCTACATCTAGTTAATCCAAATAACCTGAGCTGTGTTTTTCACTAAAAGTCTCGAATTATTGAATTACAAAAAACACCTATATAACTAAAACAAGATGTACAAATTACTCCTTGAAACACCTTTAAGAAAATTTGCAAAAGGTAATGAAAACACTCAATTATCTACAACACATGTCAAAGACTGGTGCAAATATATCAAATCAGATTAAGAGAAAAACAAAGACAGATATCACTTGATATGTGACATATTATCACTGAAAATCCTATAGTATGATCACTCCTTTTGATGAATCTTGAGCACTTCTTTTTCAAACAAAATGTAATATGTAATACTCCAAGAAAACTCTTCTTTAGAAAGCCACTAAGCTCTTTTGAAAATATTGAAAGGTGGTGTTTTCATCAGAAAACTTGAAGGCTTCTCTTTTTAAAGCAATCTGATAGAGATTTATGATTGACTAATATAATCTATTATGTTTAAATTTATCGATTATCATGTTCTTCACATAACCCAAAAATCATTTTGAATCAATATTGTGATTATTATTAAACATAATCGATTATTTAGGATTGTAAGGTTATTAAAATTGCTTAAATTATTTCTTAACATAATCGATTATTTCCAAACATAATCAATTGTTATATTCAGAAAAAGAATAAAACTAGTTTTTCAAAGCGAATTTGCTTTAGATCATCTTAGGGATTTATTCATGATTTACATTTTGATCAAACTATAGATAATGAACCATGGAGAGTAGAACACCAACAACTAGAGGTGCATGCATCATCAAGATCATCATCAAATCTACACATCATGCTTTCTTGTGCTTTGCTAACAATACACGGGCATGGGAATCTTGGGGATGAATGATACAAAATTAAGCACTGGATTTATACTTGCTTGTTATACCATGTGTTTGAGACGTTAAGTTGTTCCCCACTATGCTTGTTTGGACTTGTTGAGTGAAGCTTTTATTCTTTTGGTTCAGTCTTCAACATTTGGACGTTCTCCTTTTCTTTCCCCATTTTGCAGGTGAAGATTCAAGGGAAACTGATGAAGCAGAAAAGGAGTTGGAGCATGTGCTATTACAAAATACCATGGATAAAGAATTGAATGAGTTGAATAAGCGGTTGGAGCAGAAAGAGGTTTCATTTTTATAATTTTATTTTGAGATTATGTATATAAGTGATAATAAATGTCTGCTTTGAAATTTATTTTTTTAATCTAATTAAGCTCAATTCAGAATTCAATTTTTGTTAAACATCAAATTTAATGAGTTGCAAACTCGTGAATCTATGTATAATATAAATACATTAGTCAAGCAATTTTCTGGCTTCTATCTAACCTTAAGAAGTCAACTCAAATTATTTCAAAGTATTAGACAAGTCAGCACCTCTCAAAAAGCAAACCAGTAAACGAGCGTTGAACTTTATGATTTTCCCCATAAGCGGCTGAACATTAGGCTTTTTTCATCATATCATTCTGCGTCATGTTCAAACAGAGTGATGGATTTTCTACTGATTTTCTCAATCTATCGTCCTTTTTTCCTTGCAGTCTGAGATGAAGCTCATTGGAGTTGATACTGAGGCACTCAAGCAACACTTCGGGAAGAAAATTGTGGAACTTGAGGAGGAGAAAAGAAAAGTACAGGTTGGACTGAACTTATTTAATTTTAAATATTTATGAAGTGCAGCATTAGAAGTCTATTTTTATCCCAGTGATGGATTTTGGACTAACAATGATAGGAAGAGAGGGACAGATTATGGCATGAGGTAGAGAATCTTGCTACTAATTCAGACGGGCTAGCACACAAAACCCAAGATGTTCGTGGCCAAAAGTTGAAAGCATTGGAAGCACAGGTGATTTTTTTACTAGCCTTAATGTCATTCTCGAGTAATAAGGTTGCCATTCTTGAGCAAGACTTTTTTTTTATTCATTTTTTTAATATGGAAACATCAGATTTTAGACCTCAAGAAGAAACAAGAAAGCCAGGTGCAACTCTTAAAGCAAAAGGAGAAGAGTGAAGAAGCTGCAAGAAGACTGCAGGCTGAGATACAGTATATCAAGGCTCAGAAGGCCGGTTTTGATTTTGTTGAGTGGATGAATTATCAAATGCTTTTCTGGTTTTCATTTCTGACAATTGTATTCACATACATTGCAGGTTCAGTTGCAGCATAAAATGAAACAAGAGGCTGAACAATTTCGACAATGGAAGGCCTCTCGTGAGAAGGAGCTGCTCCAGGTGGTTTTGCTTAATTTTATAAAGATGTCTGTTGTCTTCATAATTTGTTTTATGGTGTAAACATTGCAGAGGAGTTTCAATGTGCCTTACTGTGATTAATTTGAGATCCTTTTGAGCACGCCTCTCTGTTTTGTCTCAATATGGCATGCCATATTTTTGTTAAATGCTGCAATTTTCTTGTGCTTCTTAATCTCAACCCATCGAATTATTGAATCCATGATTGCATAGCATTTAATGACTAATGTAGATATAGAACTATTTGAGTTCTCATAATGTTTCTAAACTTGCGATATTTGTTCATGACATGGTATTAGAGTATCTGTGGCCAAATGGTTAATAGAATGTTAATATTCATTTTGTTCTAGAATTTTATTATTTTCTGATGTTTTATATAGTAGTTATTTCAAACTTTCACTCCATATTTGTTTATTGTACTTGAAACTTTCCGTGCTTGTGATTTTAATTTTTGTTTTTATGTCAAGCAGTTGAAAAAAGTAGGAAGAAAGAATGAATACGAAAGACATAAACTTGAGGCTCTAAACCATCGCCAGAAAATGGTAAGTCAAAGATCTAAATTTATATGTAAAATTGCCTTGTGATTGATATGAAATTAGAGCAAAGTAAATCAGGTGTTAATTATTATATGCAGGTTCTTCAAAGGAAGACAGAGGAAGCAACAATGGCTACAAAAAGGCTAAAAGAACTGTTGGAAGCCCGTAAATCGTCTCCTCGTGACAACTCTGGTAGAACTAAACTTGGAATTATTTTCCTTTTACTGTATAAACACACGTAGATGTATATAATATAGTTTACTAACTATTTTTGGTGTCTCTTTCAGTTTGTTCAAATGGACATCTACTTCCCGGGCTGGTAATAACCTATGCTTATCTTACATACTGTATTAAGTAATTTGTCAACTTAATAGACAACATGACAGTTGCAATAAACAAACTCAAAATCAAACCATAAGTGAAACTTTGTCATCCTTGTGAATCCTTCGTGAAATTCATAATCTTTGTATGAGTTATAAATCAAGGTAACAAACAAGTCTATTTAAATTGTGTTTAATGAAATTTTGCTGTTGAATTCTTTACTTGCTTAATAAAATTTGTATGCTTTTAGAATTCCTTACCACACCTTTCAAATCGATTTTCTGCCATCTACAATTTCAAATAAATTTGTTTTAAGACAATTGTAACCTGATTTATATGTCCAGGTCAATGAAAAATCCCTCCAGAAGTGGCTTGATCAGGAGGTGGAGGTCATGGTTCATGTGCATGAAGTTCGTGCTGAATTTGACAAACAAAACCAAGTGTGAGTGATCACTATTTTTCCTCCTTTTTCATTTCCAGTAAAAAATGTCACATTCCCAAACTCACTTCATTGATTCTTGATTGAAATTTTTTAGCCAAGCTGCACTGGAAGAAGAGTTGGTTTTACTAAAGCAGGATCAGCTTTCAGATGAGCTGATTATTCCGAAAGGAAAGAGCAGATATTTGAGGTAGAATTTATTTTCATACTTCCGTAAATGCATGGTGTCTTTCTGTTGCTATTTTGGAGCAATAGCTGTAACTCGTGTCTTTCTCGTGTTTTCTCATTTGTTTGTTAGGCTGTTATCCATGTCGCCAGATGCAAAAGTTGAGAGAATAGCTTCCCTCGAGAACATGCTGAGCATGTCTTCAGTTGCTTTAAAAGCCATGGCTTCACAACTTACTGAGGCAGAAGAAAGGGAACGCACGTTAAACAACCGTGGTCGTTGGAATCAGCTACGCTCAATGGGAGACGCAAAGAATGTGCTTCAGTATTTGTTCAATGCTACTGCAGAAGCAAGGTTCGTATGATACTGTGCTGAACTAATTTAGCTTTTTATTTAAATCTTTTGACTGCTGTGTAGAGAGTTATCAATTTCTGACTACGAACTTTTCGTAGTATTCCAAGGGAAAAATAAATCTTCAGCAAATAACCAGAAAATCTGAGCAGTTTGTCAGATGCTTTTGTTACCAGATATGATTATTTCCTCTGTACTGACTTTATCCACTCCCTGAACTGGGCATTTGCTCTATTTTTTACCTGGGTATTTTTTCGGTTGGCAATATTAAATGCGAATTTTTTGACATTTTTTACTTTTTTTATTTCCTATATTTTAAGTAACGGTAGCTAGCATCATCTTTATCAGGTGCCAATTGTTGGAAAAGAATATGGAACTTAAGGATTTGAAAGAGCAACTAAATGAACTTGTAGCACTATTACAACAAAGTGAAGCACAAAGAAAAGAACTTGTAAAGGAGGAAAAAATAAGGGAACAAGCTGTTGCCATCACATTGAATACATCGGCATTGGTGAGAATTCACTCATTCTATTTGCAATAAACATGAGTTTGTGTGGTAAAATGTTTCTGCTCCAACATTAGACAGCTACAGGTTGTCGGTAACAAGCATTTGAATTAGTTTTGTATAGGATTTACTACTTCTAATGGAGCAGATGATTTTGAATGACCATCTAGAACTTCATAACCTTTGTTTTATCAGAGGTCAAAACATTTATATCTTTTATTTTGATCTTAACTAATATCAATTGTAGCTTCTTGATCACGCAAGACATCTTCAAATACAACCTTTCATTCATTTATATTTATATATAGTTTCTGACTGAAATCAGGAAAATTCACGGTCCTTGAAACATCTTGCTGATGAAATGAGTGATCCGTTGTCTCCAATGTCACTTCCTGCACCAAAGCAACTCAAATTCACACCTGGAGTTGTTAATTGGTCCGTCACAGAGTCGGCTACATTTTTAAACGAAGCACGAAAGGTACCCTGCTCCATTCTGTTTCTCTGATGACGATGATACTGTTTTTTTTTTTCAGTTGTAATTGTTTTTTTATTCAGATGATACCCATTGGGGAGTTGTCAACTAAGAGGCTAGCTGCTATGGGACAAGCCGGAAAACTTTGGAAGTGGAAGAGAAGTCATCATCAATGGCTGCTGCAGTTTAAATGGAAGTGGCAGAAGCCCTGGAAACTCTCAGAATGGATCAAACACAGTGATGAGACCATTATGAGGTCAAGGCCTCGAGCACAAGCTTTAATTAATGTGATGTGATCTGAAGCTATGGTAAGGGACATTTATGATTCAGAATATCGACCCCTGGTGTGTTTCCACACGGCTTGACAAGAGGACAGTTTATTCCAGGTAATCTTTACCCTGTTTTTTCACAAGCTATTTTTAACGCCCAAGACTTGCTTAATGTGTTTTGAAATCTTTGACGTACTACCTAAGAAAAAGTATTACATGGATTCTTACGCGTATGAACTAACTGACATTATATGCTGAAAATAAAATGAGTTAAAATTTCCTAATGTACCTTAACTTAAAAAAAATGAGTTTCATCCTTTAATTTCTCCATCAGGAATTAAATACTTTGATTGAAAAGTTCTCATGAACTAAAAGCAATAATTGGGTATGATTTATTTACATTGCTGACTTATGCTATTTCTCCGTAAGTGCTTATATGTCATTTATCATATCACTTTGATGTTTCCAACTGATTGGGTTCAGAATATGCGGACACTGAATAAAATCAACATCATACCAAGTATGATTAACGTCCACGATTTTTGAATGTTACATGTAATTTATTTAGCTTCCTATAATAGAAACTCGGATTGTAAGATGGAATTATTCTCATAAATTTGCAATATGCATGCAGGCATGCTGTAAATTGGACGAGGTTCCTGGGATTTGTCTTTCAGGGTCTTTCGTTGTTGGAGAAAGTCGTCATAATCTGTGTAGATTGTAAGTTGTAATGACAGATGGTAGGTGTAGATAGACACGGACAATATCAGAGGACGGAATTTATAGTGCATAGGTTGATCGGGTAACTTGCACATGTGCATAGGTTAGGATATGCAGCTTGTGAAGTGCCTCGTGTTAGTTCTGTAGTTTTTTTATTTTTACAAATTTTGTGAATTGGTGATCAATACTGCGTGAAAATCTGTTTTTTCTTGTACAAATGTAATATATCCAAAAATTGCTTGTGTTGTTTTTGTCAGCTAATTGTCTTTATAATTGATGCATTTTCAATTTGCGACTGAGATCCACAGCAGTCTCTGGAAACGACAAATGGCTGAGATAATGGACATTACAAAGTTCGACTTAATATATATCATTAAATATAAATATTCTTGTATTTAGTTGCGTATGTCTTCATATATATTACAGCGGAAACATGAAGATAGCGAAATAGAGGAAAAACTCGAAAACTTAATTCATAATATTATGTGACTGACAAAAAAGCATACAACTACTGGGACCTTTATTTTTTACCGTTTCTCTCTCTCTCTCTATATATATATATATAACATGTTATGGGTACAAGAGACTCTAATTCTTCCTAAAAAGATTTCAAATCAATAAAAAACTGACTTAACCTTTCTGCTTTAATTGATTGAATGTCTTAAAATAAGTGAGAAATCTTGAAGTACTTTTTTTTTACAACCATTTTTTTAATTTATCTTTGGCATCTTCAACATATATAACACTTTTTCTACGAAGAAAAAGTCTTGATAATCCAAAATAAGACCATCATATTCATCATATTGCATCTTTTCCGAACATCAAACAGGATCTTTTCTTTAAGGTTTCTTGATTTTATCATCTATAAATTTGATTTTCTTTTGAGAGAAAAACTCTTCTCATTTATGCTCCAAGAAGAATAATTTGTTTCATTTCTAGCCTGAAAGATGAGAGTAAGATCTAGATTTTCTTCAAGACGTAGATAAAAAGAGTTGGAAAAATTGACAGATTGATTCATGTGTTCTGTACGGATTAGACAATTTGATTCATAAAATTAACATAACAGATGTAGGGCAACTAGTAGACCTACTCTGATACCATATAAAAAATAATATATGAAAGATGGAATTATAGCAAAAGAAGTTTCCATGACAACAGGGATCATGAAGACAAAAGAAAATATAAACAGGTAAGAAAAATTGAGATATGTGTTATTATTTTTATATATTGTTTTTTACACAGAAAAAAATAAAATCTTAACGTAAAACAGAAAAGGAAAAAAAAAAAAGGAAAACCCAGACTAACGGAACTAACTAATTACTGCTTGTAAAAAGTAATTCTAACTCATTAAACTGTTTTGATATTAATTACTCAATTTTTATAATTTTGAATTACGTCAGTGTCATATACTTTTTTTTTTATTAATTGAATAATAGAAATGTTATGTCTTTTCTTATTTTTGTTTTCTTGTACAAAGAAATGTGAGATTTTTTTTAATAAAAAGTAATATTGTAATTAATGAACAACATAAGTCAATTTAATAAAAAAAAAATAAATGATGATAACTCAATTATAAAACATTAAATTTTTTAATATCTAATAAAAACAAAAAATCTAACAGACTCAATTGAAAATATTTATCACTTAAAACATAATTTATACAATTTTTCATTTTTCTTCTTTTAGAAGTATTTATAGAAAACTACCCGTATTTTGAAACAAATTAAAACAATTAAAAAGTTACCACGTTCAATTGTCCCAGTAAAAACATTTTAATGGACAAGGTTATTTAAACATCCCTTTTGTTTAACATCCTAGTAACAGTTATCACCTATGATAATATATGTTTTTGCTCTTTTATAGTTTTCTTATTAGGTGATTTTGTCCCCTTGAGTTCATTTAGTGTTTGAATTTCATTTAGAAAACTAATTTAGATTAACTCAATGGGATTTTAAGAGAATGTTAACTTTTTAGTTTGGTGAAGTTTGAAATGAATTTTACTTTAAACTCTAAAAAGTTATTAAATGTTTATTATATAGTGTTCGATAGAAACTTACATTTGGTTTGTTTTAAGGTTAGTGGTGAAGAAGAACTTGAGGGTGCTATTACTTTTTAGGTAAGGTGATGTGCGATGAAACGAAAGTATTTATTTATAGAAAAACTTGAAGGTGTAGAAAGCCACGGCAGCAGCAGTGTAATTTCCAAATTTTACTTACTTTTTTCACATGCATTCCAAAACTATGCTGGCTTGACCTCCCATAGCTGAATCGTGACAACTGGAACATAATTCATGACGAAGCATAATCGATTCTGCTCGAAGAGGAATCGATTCTCGCCAAAGCGAACAGAATCAATTCTCGTCAGTATCTACTAAGCAAAAATCGACTATCTACTAATCAAAATCAATTATATGCTTCATTTATGTATTTAACATTTTAATTTAAATTAATTTTAATCAATCATCTTTTAATTTAAAATAATTTTATCATTTAAAATCTTTGTTATTTAAACTAATCACTCACATTCTATTTTAACTTAATTTCTGCTGATCACATTTTATTTTAACTTATTTTAAACTTTTTTATTTTAAATAATAACTCACATTTTATTTTATAATATTTTGAATTAATTAATTTTTTTAAAATTAATTTTTATTATAAAAAAAATCACGATTTTACAATTTTATCAATTAAAACTTTTATCTATTATCACAAGACTTTCTTTTCTAATTTATCTTCCCTTTCACTCTTATTTCCATCCTTTTTCATTCTCTGAAACCTAACTTCAAATAAAGTTTGAAATTTAGTTCTACATCAATATGAATCCGAAACCCTTCTTAGAGGACAGAATGTAAAGTTGGTTTGAATTTGAAACAGTTTCAAAGTTCATTTAAAAAAAAAGGTCCTGTGCTTGCCCCCACACATTGGTGTGGCTCTCTGACACAAATTAGAGTAGAAAGGTGGAGCCTGATGTAGTTGCCTTTGACAGAAGAAAGTTGTTCAACACAGAGTGAACCAAATTTTATATTCCGTTTAAAATTACTTCTAGCTTTAGAGGAATGGGCACTGAGACAAATGTTGGTAAAAAATTTAAAAGTAATTTTTTGATTTTCAAATATATATTCAATATACACATAAACAACAAAAAGTACTACTGTGCTAAGATTAAAGGTATTTTAAGCTTTCCTTCAAACATCCCTACCAGTCAAGTCTCCATTAAACCTTTTTCAGTTTTTTTTTTCTACTGCCAACGTCCCTTGGTTGTCAGAGAAACGAAGAAAATTTCAATAAGCTCAAATTCATTAAAATTCTATGTCACTGTGTCTATAGAACTAAAAAAATGCACAAACCAGCCCCGGCAGATAACAGAACATCCGATGCTTCTGCTTTTTTCACTGTATAGAGATTTCGGCAAAAATGAGTGCTTGCTTTTTAACCTGGCTTGCAAAATCACTCGTCTAAGTCCGTCCACGAGAAATTTCTTTCATTTTCAAGATGAGGACAAGGTGTGATTAACTTCTCCGCACACAATCCAGTCAGGTTTAGATAGATATAGTTCAGAAACTAAGAGAGCCCGGTAAATGAATTATCCTCCATCGAAACGCTGTCCTTTATTCCCTGTATCATCTTAAGGACTTGCCACATTGCTGGCCTCTGCTCCGGCGAGGTTGCACTGCAAATACTGGCAACCTCCGTGAGCATCTCTAGCCGGTTGTCTTCACTGCCATCATCATCTCTCATTGTTCTCACCCAATCTTGCAAATCCGCTGGTGCAAGAAAAGGTTGTTGGGAAGGGTGTTTACCGGTCAAAAGCTCTAGTAGAAGCACTCCAAAAGCATAAACATCAGACTTGGATGTGGCTCTGCCGCTAGAGTTGCGAGCCTCGGGTGCTCTATAAGCCGCAGAATCGGGATCTTCAGTGAACGAAGAATCTGCAAAGAGGGACAAACAATAGTCCGTAATACAGGCTTCAAAGCCCGTCCCAAGAAGAACGTTAGAAGATTTCAGGTTGCCATGAATTAGAGTTGAAACTTGATGTATATAAGCAAGTCCGTGTGCCACATCTTCGGCTATTTTCAAGCATGATGTCCAATGCAAAGGCTTCGCCCTCGCCGATCTTGAACCTGCACATGCAGCACCTATCTTAATTAAGAAAAACAGAATCAGATTGGTCCCCACAACAACAGGCTACATTAAGACTTCTGACACTGAATAGCAATTAAAATTGGAAATTTTGAAATAAAAGTGCTTTTGCCTCAACAAAAGGTCAACCGTATGAAGCACTGCAGTCAACCTGGCATTGAAATAGTGCAAACATATCACAAATCACACATCCCAACCAAAAATAAAATAATCCAAACAGAAACAAAAACAATCCAGCCCCGTGACTGTCGACATCGGCCACCAAACTACGAAAGCCAGTGCTCTCGTATGGAAAACTCGCGTAAAAAAACAATAAGAAAAAGGCAACACACAATACAGACCTATCTGACAAAACGTACCATTCCACATACCACAACCCTTTGCAGAACAACACATCATCCATCAAATCAAACTCTAATCGAACCACCATCCCCCACAACATTTATCCTCAGTCTTCTTCGAAACTTCAACTCCAAAACCCAATTTTGACATTAGAACGAAGGTTTTGAAAATGGCACATCATTGCCATTTCGACTGCAATGGCAATGTTTTTAGATTCTTTAGTACAGAAGATGCGACTGTTCGCGCATAGTCACACTTATCTATACTTTCCCGAAATATGACGAAACAGTAACCAGAGTTCCAAAACTTGTTTACAGAGCAGAAAAACGGAAAAGTTTAATGTAACCGGCAATAACAATACGTGAAGAACTGAGCATTTACAATGAGTTAAAGGGATAAAAATTCGAACTTGTGAAAATTAAAATCACCTTAGGCATTGAAACTTTTGAAAACAAAATTCTATCCCAAGAGTAAGAAAATTGCATGAAGTTATTACGAAAAGAAATTTGGTTCATTTCAAACTATTTTTACTCGAAAGAAAAATTTATACAAACAGGGACCAACTAAACAGTGCAGTTGAATTCATAATTGATGTTAATAAATGTAAAGTGACTACCGTGAACGAGGTTGAAGATGCTGCCATTGGGCTGATAATCATATATGACAAGCCTCTCTCCCTTGGCCTGAAAATAAGCCCTCAAAGGAACCAAATTGGGGTGGCGAAGCCTCCCCACAGCCTCCATGTGGCGCTCAAACACTACTCCATCACTCCCCCCACTCTTCCCCCCATCCAACCTCTTCACCGTCACAATCAACCGCGAATCCAGCACCGCCTTGTACGTCGTCCCCACGCTCCCCCTCCCCAGCAACTCCGCCGAAGCCCGCATCAGCATCTCCAGCGTATACTGCTGCACCTCCCCGCAGCAGAACACAAGTTTCCCACTCCTGTGCGCCTCCTCCATCCTCCTCACCTTCACCTCCCTCTCCTCCTCCTCCACAACCCCCTCCACCTCACCCCCCTCCGCAACAACCGCTTTCCCCGCCGCCGCCTGCCTCCTCCTCACAAGCGAAACCACAGACACAACAAAAACACTCACAAGAACACCCGCCACAACAAAGCCCACAACCAGCAGCCCAGTCTTTCGATGACGCTTTGTTTGGGCGGAAGCAGGCACAACCAAAATACCCTGAGACTGTTCGCTCTGACTCAACGGCGCCGTGGAGGTGGACGTGGCGGGGCCGAAGAAGCGGGAGCGCGAGCCACACTCTCGGTGAACAATCTCCCCGCAGAGGCCAGGGTTTCCCGAAAAGGAGGCGGCGTTGAGTTTAGAGAGGGTCGGAGTAACGGGAACAGGACCGGTCAGGTTGTTGTTGGAGACATTGAGCAGTTTGAGAGCGGTTTGGTTGAGAGGAGGGAGCGTGCCGGAGAAGTTGTTGGAGTCGAGACGGAGGGCTATGAGACGGTCGAGGAGAGTGAGCCGAACCGGGATTGAACCGGAGAGATTGTTGTGAGAGAGGGAGAGAGTGAGGATGCGGTGGAGGAGGAGGAGGGAAGGAGGGAAGGAACCGGAGAAGTTGTTGTGGTCGAGGAAGAGAGCCTTGAGGTTGGTGAGAGAGGAGAGATCAGGGATGGGCCCGTAGAGGGAGTTGTTACGGAGGCTCATCACGCGGAGCTGGTCCAGCTTCGTCAGGGTGTCCGGAGGGAATGGGCCGCGCAGGCCCATGGACTGGACCACGAAACGGACCACTCTCCCTTGTGCACACTTCACGCCCTCCCACTCGCAGTAGTCGTACGGCTCGTTCAGAGTGTAGAGGAGCCTGTTGTCTTGGTCCGCTTCCCGTTTAAACGACAGCAACCACACCGCGTCGGAGGACACCGTGGAGCCACCGCAAGTGGTGGCGAGGCTGATTATATGTAGCAACAGAGGGAGGAGTGCTGCCGTTGCCCTTTGCATTGTTTGAGCTTTCTGTTTCTTCGGTTGTTCAGCTTTCAGACATTTGTTGTTGAAAGAGTGAGTATATCCGCTAACAGTAGTAGTGGGAAGCAGCTGGATTTCAAGTCCTACTCCACTCACGTGAAAGTGGGGAATGCTCCAAATTATTACATAATCTTTTCTTATGCCCCTTCCCAACACTTTTCCTTTTTTTTCCTAATAATATAAACTCCCTTTCTTTCTCTCTCTTTTTGTCGATGCTCATCTCCTTTTCCTCGTTTCATGTCTACATTTTCTTCTACAACACCCAATTTCCAATTGATAATACTTTCATAACATTTTTTTTACAATATTTTAGTATTATTTGTGTATGATTACTACGTTATAATGTGTTTATTATTATTATTATTATTATTATTATTATTATTATTATTATTATTATTATTATTATTATTATTATTATTATTATTGATTTTAGAATAATTTTGAACTAAAATTAAATGTAGATAAAAATATCTTGAAAGTATCAATATCCTTTCCAATCTCATCTCATTTCCTTTATTATATCATACAAAATGCTTACTAGTAGTCATATGAAACCATTTGTCTAATAATTATTCATTACTCAAAGTTTATTACATAAAAAATCTATCTCACCTAAACATGAAATACGTAATGCTACTATTTGTTTCCTAAACAAAGTTTGTTTTTAGCTTCTCACCATCTCCTTACATATAGATATATGAATTTTAGAATGTTGCATGGCGTGGTTGGTCATGGTCCCTAAGGAATTTTTACACATGTTAAATGTTCTGTCGCGCAAACTGCAACATTTGTAGCATTTCATTAACCAACTCTATTAGAATATTGCCTTCATAAGAAATTATAAATAAGATATCTTATATGTTACTTATTTAACTGAAACTAAAGTTATATATACTCACTGTTTTATTGTATTTAATCTGTTTTCTTTTTTTAGATTGCTTCTGTAGTAAGTTAATCATATATACTAAATTTTATTATTTTGTCAATTATAATAAAATAATTATATAGTTTTTATTTATTTTTCTCTCTTCACCTACAAAATTGAATTATTTAAGAATTAAAAAATATATAAGAATGTAATTAATGTGAGATCTTCCATTTTTTAAATCATAAATAAATACAAACAGAATTTCTAAAATAATCCAATACTTTAAAATAAACATACAATTAGTATTGAATAAAATTTTGAGTTCTAGTTAAAGTAAAAAAAATATAGTTAGAAAGCGAAACATATTATAAATTTCATAGCAAAGACCTGTTATTCCTAAAACTAAGAGATATACTAATTATCATGTGAATACATAGTTTTATAATTTGTACTTGTCAAAATGTTTGAAGATACAAAAAAAGACGAACTAAATATTCAATTTGTAAAATTTCAGACAATTTAAAAGAATAATTTATTCATTTAGAGAAATTTAAGTTTTTTGAAATAAAATTATTTATTTGAATAAAAAATTAAAAAGAAATTAAAATTGAGTAATTTTAAAAAGAATAAAATAATAAAATTCTAAGAAGGCAAAACAAGCCTTAGCCAAATATTTAAAAACTGAATATTTTACTGGAAAAAAACTATTGTAATTAACTTACGTAAGTTAACTTATAAATAGAGCAGCTGCATGAGCCGAGTGCTAAAGAATTTTATTTCTTTTAATCCCCACTCTAAGTCTAAATATAACATGCCTAACAATATGTTCAATCAATCAAAATTCGGTATTAAAAAAGTATTATATATATATATATATATATATATTCAAATTTGTCACTTTCGTAATAAATTTTTAATAATAAAAGTAAACAAATAAATAAAAAGGAATCTTTTACGAGAAGCTTTCGGATTTTTGGAATGGACGGCCTAACGTGACCTTTTGAACGTGAGAGGTTAGAGGCAAAATGGTGCAATTATTTTCTCAATTTACTTATGAGTATGTTTTAAAAAATATTACGTATTGAAAATGTATTTTCTTAACTAATTCTTTTTATAGAAAAGTAACGTGTAAAGATTAGAAAATAATATTTTAAAAATACTAATAGTTAAAAATAAAGATTTGATTATTTTAATATTAAAAGATTTTAATATAAATAATTTAAGTTTTTATTTTATTTTAGGGTTAAATATGTTTTTAGTCCCTAAACTATAGGTCGTTTCTGGTTTTCGTCCCTCTTTCAAAGTAAGGTACAATTTGGTCCTCATTCTTTTCGAAACGTTCATTTTAGTCCTCGGAATTTTGGTTTTAATCCTCATTTATTGCTAAAAGAGGACCAAATTTTTAAACAGTGTTTAGTTTTCGAGGACTAAAACGAATGTTTCGAAAAGAATGAGGACCAAATTGTACCTTACTTTGAAAGAGGGACGAAAACCAGAAACGACCAATAGTTTAGGGACTAAATACATATTTAACCCTTTATTTTAAAACATAAAGTTATCTAGAAACTATTTTTTAAGATTTTTTTTACTTTTTTTTAAGAGTTCTTAGTCTTTGTTTGTCTAATTGAAAATCAAAAGCGTAGAACTTATCTTTGCGGTTAGCTCTTCAATTTGGATCTATCAGTTTTTTTATAGTTGAGTTTCAACCATTTTTTTTATCTTTTTCTGTTATATAATACATGTGAATATTTTCCTATTTGCATGTGTCTGTTTAGTCATTTATATGAGTCTCTGTTATCAGTTTGACAATACTATTATGTTTTGATCGTTTTTGTGATGTTTCTATGTGTAGATAGAACATCGTGCAAGTTGAAAGGAGCTTCGCTGGTTAGAGTCTTTTGAGTTGTTGACCAAGTAAAGGAATTTAATTTCACTATTTTAAAGTTATAGATACTTTAAAATGTCTAATTTTATAATTGTATGATGAATTGATTAAATGATTGACTTGTGTGATAAGTCTGATATGTTGAATTGTGGTTATGTTAATAAATTGCATGAATAGATTAAATGATGAAGTTTGAGAATGATGTATGATTGTATGGCAAATGAGATTATTTGAGTCAATGAAACTTGTGTAATTTGAATTTGGTATGTTTTGGCATTTATGTTTGTTGGACTAAATTTGGAGGGTTTCAGTGATATACATTTGCATAATTATGTTTTGCAGAATTATGCAAACTCGTTGGGTGAAAATATATTCTTTGGGAAAAACAAAAGTTAGAGAGCTACGGACTTGGTGGTCGTTAGACAAGAATATATTCATTGGACGAAGTCAAAGTCAGAAAGCTACTGACTCAGTGGTCATTGGGTGAAGCCAAAATCAAAGAACTCACTAACTTGGTAATAGCTAGGCGAGACAAGTCTCGTTGAACGACTTTTGAAAAAAAATTAAGTTTGAGTTCTGGTGATAATTTCGTGTTCCAAGCTATCTGGTCATTGGATAAATATCCTTTAGACACTACTCGTTGAGCGAAATTAACAAAGTCTGATACTATTTTATAGGTACTCTTCTGATATGTTTAATGTAGGACTATGTGATGTTAAAATGATAGTTGATTTATGATGTTTATCGAAGAATGATTGATAGATCTATGGATAAATATCCATGCGAATAATGATGTGTGAAGTTGTGATGATGATAAGCTTGTTAATGGGTATGAGCATTGTATGTGTTTGACGTAATTCCAGGAATCTCGTAAGAAGATTATATGGTGACATTTCTTTAGTTACACATTAATACGACACTTTAGATGTTATAGGTTATTTTCTCACTCTAATAACCATTTATGCTCATATAAAGTAGAATGAGGTATTTGGTAAGAGATACATAATGTCATAATGTATTGATTTTACCTTGGTTAATTGTATATCAGTGTTAAAAATGAACTTTTGAACATGTATAAAGAAACTAAAAATATTGATTTTGAACTCAATAAAATTATAGTTTATAAGTTTTATAAATTCGTTCTAGCTTTAACCAGTTAAAAAGTATATCAATTTAAAAATGGCAAAAGGATGAATTAACTAAGAGTAAAGAAAAAACTCTCTATTATCACATAACTAGTCATTTAATTTGATTTTATAGTTATTTTCCTCGTCAATGGGGATTTGATAATTCTTAGACATGAATCTCTCTAATGTTATGCTTTTATTTCTCACTCAACAAACTCCATTATAATTTTTTAAAATGTGATTTTGACAAGGTGTATGGACTAGACTCCCACTCTCGTAAAAACAAAATTAATAGTTTAATTTAAAAAATAAAAACATTTAAATATTTAAAAATTAAATAAATAGTATATTTAGCAATATACTATTTTTAAGATTTCTTTTAAGTTTGCATTTAGATAAGTTAGCGGGCCTAATTTATTATAATTTCTTTTATAATTTATTTTCACATTACCATTTGCGTATGTGATGATAAAATAAACAATTAGGTCCTATTATCTTATTTTTGCTTTATGTTGATATATAGCTCCATAGATGAAAATAATTGATATTAGTATTTAAATATTTATTGAGTTTGTCTCCTTCATGTAATAATATGCGTATGGCCTATGAACTTTATGAGTATCGTATTCATGCAATTATCATATTGAGTCCATTGCCTTTGAACTTTAAGTGTACGCTAAGTCTCTTATTCGATCAGAGATCATGTGATGTCCTCTTTGTTCTTTCAATCATCAGCTCCACCATTGAGCATTTATAAAACAACAATTTGCCACCTTTGTCCAAACAAATATAAAAACAACACAGTATAATAATAATGTTTTTATGTAACTTTCATTTACATTAATAACTTATGTTTCTTATATCAGTGTAATAATATACTAGAATATAAAAATGAAGATGACCTCAACCTTAAGTCATGACAAATAGATTGACAATTAAACTTAAGGTTGCTTCCTAATAATGACATAATTCCTATTTTTTAAAGGATCATGAGTGTCTCACTCACAAAAATGTTATTTTATCTATACATATTCAATAATTATAGTACATAAAGGGTATGTAATTATAAAATCATAAGAGAATCTCCCAATATTTTAAATTTAAGACTAGTTATAATAAAATTTCATTAAATCAATGTTTTATTACTTAATTTGAATTATTTTTCAATTTTTTTATTTACTAATTCTAGTGTTTTTATTAAAAAAAATACATTCGCAACTATCCTAGTATTACGAGGAAAATTATCAATCAACGAAAATAACAAGAAATTAATTTAATGACAAATTT